GGGGGGGGGGGCATGCCCTCAGACCCCCCTAGATGCTCAGGCCCTTTCGGGCCTTCAGAACGTGGCCGTGGGCCACGTATTTCACTGCTATGGGTGATAACTTACATGCAACGGCTGCTTGAAAACTTAGTGACAGCCCTGGTTGCAAATCTACATGATAATAATATACTAAGTTGAAAAGGTAAAGGTTATCACATTTATTTTGTTGTAAAAGCGTATTGCAGAAAGACATTGTACGTGGAACTACAGGTAGACTGGTGTGGGTCCTAATTTCTAAGTAGTAGGGTAATTTGTAGTTTTTCCCTAGTGTACATATTCAACATGTATTGTAAATAGACGTATAGAGGCTTGTCACCATCTCTCAATGTCCAATCAGACTCAATCTGAGCAAAACTATTTATGCGACATTGCATGAAATTAATTATGTAACATGTTTATCCTTTTCTAACAGAGTATTTCTTATCTTTTTGAACTTGAAAATGTTGTCATCATGACTCCAAAATGTCATTTCCTTTTATCATTTATTTTTTACTTTATTGTAAATAGGTAAGGCTAATTATTTTTGTTTTGTTTGTATAAGGTATCAGACATAGATCAGCATGTAGAGAATTTGATGAAGAAAATTTCAAGTGGATCATTAACAACGAAAAAGGTCTGTGTGTGCTAGGTATTTTTACCACTGAGTCTGACATTCCACTAGGAATTTTAAAATATTGTGTGGTTAAAAATCTCACTACAAAGCCTAAAAACTGTATTTTAAAAATTTGGGTACTGGCATTTCAGAACATGCTATCTGCACATGTATGTAACCTCGTGCCTAGATTGAAACAATATTCTTTGGTTGTTATTGCCAGTTTGTGACGTCATCATTTTCCAAAATTGAAAATTACTAATCCTACTGAAAATTTAGTTTGATCAAAATGTAAGAGTCTCTAATAACTTGCCGTTTTAAAACATTTAAGCTCGACAGTGTTCTTCATTTTTTAATAGAGCGCATTTGAATTTCCAAGTTTATGCATTGCATGACATCAAATGGCAGCCCCAGGAGGCTCTTGCATAGATCAAAAGATGAGTCATCGCGTAAGTTTTTGCAAACTGAACAGTTTTTGCTCTAGAAGAAGTATTAATTTCAATGTGTCCGAGCTCTAGTAAAGAGTAATAACTTTTCGTTTAAATGGTAAAACTCAATGACAGATGTTTCTGTTACTTAGCTGCCATGTTTGTGTCCCTCTGAGGGGCACCAATGTGACACCTCTATACAAAGCTCTAAAATTTGGGTGAAATACTTCTCCAAATAATGTGGGAATGAAAACTTGCCTAGACCTCAATCTTAGGGAGATTGTTCATATAACAATCATCTATCATATCCCAGATTCTTGGGTTAATTTATTGAATGGTTGCGATTTTTATTTTTGATGGTATGACAGTACAAACCAGCAATAAAGAAAATGCTTGAAGACTGAATTGTACTGAATGTTTCTCAGATCTTTTTGTACTTATATTTAATTAACATATGTACATGTATGTCACTATATCTGAACTGACTTCATTCCATTTTGGGTACATTAGATTAGTACTTCACTTTATATTATACTGTATGCCCTGGGTATTTGTGATGAGTTCAAAGATTGCAGACTTGGACTACAATTAACAAATTAAGGAAGGCATTCATTTCTTAATCCTAAGCTTTTGTTATTCCCAAGATCTAGAAGTATTTTCTGTTGCTAATTTTTTAGCTTACACAATTATTAAATGTTAGACTGAGATTAAAAACATTTCTATTTCTTTCAGGGTGTTAGTTTTTTAGAACTGAAATTTCATCTGCTTTTAAGGTATGTAAATGCTGATATAATAGTTACATGCTTTGACTGCAGAAATTTCAATTTACTGAATAAACAATTACTGGTAAATTGCTATTGGCTGGAAGTTTGAAATTTACTCATAAAAGAAAAATATTGATCTCACCAACTGCAACAAACACACAGTTGTATTGTGCTATTTTTTATTCTTCATTTTGTTGCAGCTATGTTATTGATCTCACATACTACCTGCTAACAAAAACTGATGGAAAACCATGGCAGGAAGACCCGGCTGCCGAAAGATTAGTAGAAGTTCGCACTGTGAGTAATACTTTGATAAGATGTAATGTTTGTATTCTCCCAGTACAGTCATCTTGCTTGGTAAATACCAGATTTATCACAAGACTTTATAATAGAAAAAGTGCTGTAGTCAGTGTATAGACTGGCAGATTTATCACAAGATGTTATGATGGAAAAAGTGCTGTAGTCAGTGTATAAACTGGCTGAACACTTGGAAAAATTACTATCTGACCTGTAAGAGTCTTGAATTGAGACAAAAAAAGAAGATCTTGTAGATCTTAAAACAAAATAGACATACTTTACTCACTCTCAAGTGAAGTACATCTGTGTGTGAATACAACCTGCTGATGAGTGTTATCTCAGGTAAACTTTGCCTGCCAGTTTACCACATCAAAATCTATAATTTATAATCTTGCTTTTCATAGATGATGAGACACTTGTCTGTAGGGATTCATGGGTTATTCTTCTTGAGAGAAATAGTACAAAGCATGTAAATGTGATCTCTTATGTACAGCATGTATGTTTTTATTTCTCTCAATAACACTCCATTTAGGTTTTGGAGAAACTGAGACCCATTGACCAGAAAATGAAGTATCAGATTGATAAAATGATTAAGACTGCCACAACAGGGATGACATCAGGTACATTTACACTGTCTGTTTATTTCTCATTAAAATAAGTACATATATGTCCTACAGTATATAAACTGTCAGGAATGTGAAATTAAATATTGCTTAGAAGACTATCCCTCCAAGCCTTGTCCATAGAGTTACTTCAGGAGCAACTCACAGTTTCCTTTTCACATTCACAAGTGTAAAAGCTAACAAAAGTTTTGAAAAAAAAATTTTGCTCAGAATGCTTAAAAAACAAAGAGTTCTATGTAAAACTACTCTCAAATAGCTGTTATGGTCACACACTTGCATACAAGGCTTCACTCGCTGACTTACTCCTGTCTTGACTTGAGTTCCAGTACAATGTCATGGCCACATACTTTAACAGGCTTTTACAGTACCTGCTGACATAAAAAAGTGTTAACTTGAGTTACAGTACAACATCAAACTTTCACTTCAGGGTCAAACCTCAGTTGATGCTGATTTAAAAACAACATGAAGTTACATACCCAACTGTCATATAGCCTAGTGTAAATGTTATTAGTTATTACAAGGCAATGCGCAGTTAATTCATAATTCACATGATTTTGTACTTTTAAATGCCTCCTCAAATGCTAAATATTTCTTAAATTAATCTTTGTTTATTTATTTTTTCATAAAGGTGCTGAAATTGATCCCCTAAGGTTTAAACCAAATCCTGAAAACATGGTATCAAAGGTGGGTTGCTTGCTGGTTTATTTTGAAATCACAGATTAACCATAAGATTATGTCTTGATAGTAAAACTAACAAATTACAATGTTAGTACAGTGAAATTCACCAACAGTCACCTCCTGTGTGGGGATGCACGTGGTCACAGCCAAAGGTTTAATTTTAAACACTTTTTAATGTCACTATTCTGCATGCTAATAGAAAGCATAGGATACGATTCAACCAAAAAACATGACAGGAACAAAATCCACAGTATGTGACTTTAGGCTACACACACAAAATAAAAGTCTCACAAGTTTGCATGTATTCCCCTTAACATTGGGATGGAACAAGAGTATTGGCAGAGCCCCACACAATTTGGTTATCTACAATGTACTTGCTTACTTTGGTTATCTAATCGCACCTTTTAGGGGATAAAAAACGCAGTTTTGGTACTTCTTAGGGTGTTCAGCCTCAAAAGCTCCACAGCAAGAACTTTTGCGGTTCCTTTTAGTGTATCGAGCTGAACAAAATGTGACAGGAGATAGTGTGTTGTTTTACTGTAGAATTGGTACCTCTGAGAGGTGAAAAAATTTCAAGCCGCACCCACCAAACATGATCTTAGTATCTCTGAGGGGTTTCCAATGAGCACCCCAGCCCTTTTTATATGGGAGTCCCCCCCCCTCCCGGGGGGGTATTTTTGTTGTTATGTTTAGTTTTGTTATTTGTTGTTGTTTCTAGTTGTAGCTCAATCAACATTTATTATTGAATTCACTTGAGTTTTTGGATCGACATATTTGAAGTAGCATATGACTTGAATCTGCACATAGAACGTGTAACTTGATGTCTAACGTTTGACTGGCTTGTTCTGTTTCTAGATGAATACGGTGATGCACCCCAAGAGATTCGGGTATGTGTCATGTCTGCTTATTCAAATTTCATTCAATCAACACGTATTAAGCCTGGCACAACATTTTGTTATTTATCCCTTCTAACTAAACATCTGCAATCTTTGTCAGGATGAAACTTTGTCACGCTGGAGAAAACAGAAGGAAAAAGAAGAAGAGGAAGAACGAACACGGTAAATTTTGTTCTTTTTCTTTTCAGCTACAACTAGTAGTTGCAAAAATGTCGATACATGTCGTGCAAAAATGGCTTTACATACTTAAAACTTAGTTAAATGGATGGTAAATAACAACTTTGTTACAGAATAACAATTAGCCCCCCGCTCCCTGATTCAGTTTTGTTCGTCTAAGTATTGTACATGATATTGCTTAGCTAGCAACATTGGAAAGGGAGGGAGGGGGAAAGATTACACGAGATAGTGCGGTGAGAAGTTTTCTCCCGATGTCTCAAGTTTTCTTGCAACTGGTTGTAGCTTCAAGTTATTATCACCAGATTATGAGCCGGGATAGGTAGAAGGTCAAATTGCTAGGTTCGCATACACGTTGTACAGGTAACAATTTGCTTTTTTATCTCATAGATATGAAGAGGAAAATCTGCTTCGACTTCCTGCTAAGAAGAAGAAAAGGGTTTGTTGTCTAAACTTTAAAACCTGAATATTATTATTGTCAACAAACCAGTTGAACGTATTATTGCTGCATGTTGTTCGTGCTTTATGCAGTTGACTTTACTCTGTTTGATTGATTACCCAGATATCTGAGCGTGCTCAGTCAGGCATGGATGAACTGACGTCATTCGCTGACTTGTCTGTGCTAAATGCTGGAGAAGATGACAGGGTGAGTGAACTTGACTGAAACAATTACACAGGTTACAACATTTTTAGGTTGCAACAACTACGTGGCAGTACATTGTAACATTAAACTAAAATATGAGGCTGAAGGCTCTTTAAAAGGTGTCAAATAGCTGGTTTGCTAAACGTTTCAGGCTTAGTGCTTCTTCAGAAGATAAAATAAAGCGATCCACACCATGCAAAAAACTGTACGCGTACGCACGGATTGTTTGGGTGGAAGGAGAGCTATCTACTTCATTGTAACATGAAGTGTAATTTATTCAGCCATTATTAAACTGATTCTGAAATAGCTCTTGTTCGAGTGTTCAATGATATTGTTGTTTTATTTACTTCTTTTTGTTTGCGTTACAGAATGGTGAATACTCTACAAAATCTAGGTAATTTGTTTCTTTTTTTGTATTATCAGTGCCCAGTTCTCTCTTTGTAGTATGAGTAACGCAGGCGTACCTTTAATTAAATGAAAACCGGCAATCCATGTAATTGAAACGGTCTGTTGAAGTCTCGCAGTCAACTTTATCGTTTCTAATGTTAACCATTTGATTGTGTCTTGCAGTTCAAGCAGTAAGAAATCAAAATCGAAGGTATGGTACATGTCTCTGTCTTTATCTGCAGTAACTCTCTTAAAAGTATTCATCCAAACCAGGCGCGGAGGCAAAAAAATCACGGGGGGGAAAGAAAGTGTTTAATCGTGCCTTAACCTCAATGCGATTTACTTTGTTTTTGTCCTAGAGGCCTCGGAGCCATGGAAATTTTAATAGAATTATCGAAATTGGCTTACTGTTAAGTGTACTGTTCGTTTAATTAAATGCAGTCTGTAAAGAAAAACGGCTATTAATTTAAATACTTAACAGCGTTATTTTGATCCCTGTGTAAACCTTTCAGTAAATGAAAAGAAATACGAGGATTTCTAGGGCTGTTTTAAAGTGCCAAAAAATGTTTTTCGCTCGATGAAATCTTTATATGAAACTAACAAAAAAAGCTGCAAAAATTTTTGCATTCGGTTGAAACCCGAATTACAATATGACAATCGCCAGCAATAAATAAATTATATAAACAATATTTCACATTACTTATTTGATAGCCACAAGACATTTTCATTATTTATTACCATCCTCTATGTGGTAATCTGCCAAAAGTCTTTTCTGGGCGTGTTTGTACTTCAGGTTTTTTTAAAATGTTTTTATCTTTTGCTCGAAGGGGACTGTTGTTTTTCAAAAGGGTGATTGGGCCTGTTCGTTAACCATGTTTTCATGCTGGAATTGTGTTTGCTATTTCGTTATGTTTCTTGCAGTGGAAGAAGAAGTTTGGAAGCGCGAAAAAGAAGAAAGGTAAATAATCATGAAATATACATTTAATTCTTGGCCGGACTTTTCCTTTGGCAAGACAAACAATTGAAGGTTTCCACGTGCCAAGGGCATGTTTGCTGTTTGTACTCGTTAGTTTTTTTTTTTT